GGTGTCCGGAGCATCCTGCTCTGCAGAGGAGTTGGCCTGGGGCCCTCCTTTCTCCTGAGCAGTTGATAAGCTGTCAGCCCCCCTTGCCTGGGGGAGCCTGCCCCTCGTCCGGCTGGGTCTCTACCAAGTTAACCCTCTGTGGATTCGGTCTGCTCAGTCTGTCCCTGAGCCTGGGGCACTGGGTCCATATGTGGCCTCTCTGGCCACAGTAATAGCAGCCCATGTCCCACTGGTCCCCTCGAGCCGGTCGGTTGGCCCTGACACCGGATGTTCCCCTTGGGAGGGGGTTCCCCATGTTTCCCTTATGGGAGGTCCCAGGGTCACTCTCTTCCTGCATCATGGCGGGTCTGTTCCTTTGGTTCTCCTCCCTGCCACCCCGTGACCGGCTCTTCACAAACTCATCGGCCAGCCGCCCTGCGTGTCGTGGGTTCTCTGGCTTTTTGTCCCTCAACCACAGCTTCAGGTCGGATGGGCACCGCTCATACAGTTGCTCCAGTACCAGCAGTTTAACCAGGTCCTCCTTCGTCTGGGCCCCATCTGCCCACTTGCTGGCGTATCCCTCCATGCGGATGGCTAGTTGCAGATATGAGATCTCAGGGGTTTTATCCTGACTCCGGAACCTTTCCCGGTACATCTCAGGAGTCAGCCCAAACTCACGTAGCAGGGCCTTTTTGAATAGTTCGTAGTCCCCTTTCTCCGCCTCTTCCAGTTGGCGGTACAATGCCACGGCTTTGGGGTCCAGTAAGGGGGTGAGAACCCGGAGTCTGTCCGCAGGATCAACCTGGTGCAGCTCGCAGGCCGTCTCAAAGGCATCCAGGAAGTCATCCATGTCCTCCCCATCCTTACGCTGGGCCAGGATGCACTTATCAAAGCTCCGTGCAGTCCTGGGTCCCCCCCTCACTCACCACAGCCGGGGTCCCGCGGCCCCTCAGCCTCGCCAGCTCCAGTTCATGCTGCCTCTGTTTCTCTTTCTCCTCCCGTTCATGCTGCCTCTGTCTTTCACAATCTGCCAGCTCTCTCAGTTTTAGCTCTTTCTCCCATTCCAGCCGCTTCCACTCCACGGATGCCGAGCATCGCCGGGAGGATCCCCTGCTGGCCGGCGAGCTTCGCCGGGAGGATCCCTGCTGGCCGGGGGGGTCATGGTGCCCTTGGTATTTGCTGGGCTCCTCCCCACCCTTCCCCTAGGCATAGGAAGGAGGGGTCTCGGGAAGCCCTCAGCAGCCGGCTGACCACTCCCAGCTGGGACACACACTGGTGCCAGGCTGCTTCCCTCAGAGACAGGAATCAGTTCATTCGAGCGATCTCTCTCCTCCAGCTGGGCAATGAGCTGTTCTTTGGTGAGGCTTCCACTGCGCAGCCCCCTCTGCTTGCACAGCTCCACCAGGTCGCTCTTAAGCCGCTTGGCATACATCTTCCTGCTGGCCGCTCACAAGCCTGGGTGCTCACGGCTCCCCACAGTTTCCAGGGAGACCCCTAGTGTGCCAGCCCTTCTCGAGGTCACCACCTCTCTGCCAGGGTCGAGCTGCAGACTCCTCCACCCCTGGGACCGCTCGCTGCGATCCCCCGGGGGACCCTGTTACTGCAAAAGTCCTTCTCGCTGGTCACACACTCCTAGGGGTTAATCGCCCCCTGAAATCGTCCCTCATTGACTCTTCAGCATGCCTGGTCCCCGTCAATCACCCTTCGTTTTACTGCTCCCCAGTCACTTACTTCAGGAAGTGCCGTCCACGGGGTGCAGTAGATCCCATCACCAGTTGTCATGGAGTGTGGGGGAGACCAGGCCCTGCACCCCCGGCTTCCTGCGATTCACCATGACTCTCAGCCAGCCAATTGAACAGAAGGTTTATTTGATGACAAGAACACAGTCCAAAACACATCTTGCCGGTACCGACAACAGCCTCCTCCCCGTTTAGTTAGGTCCATCTGGGGGCCCCAGGGAGGCCACAGCCCCGTTGGGAAGCCCAAGCCCCATCGGGTCACCACTCTCCATCTTCCAGCCAGCTCCAAACCTGAACACTCCCTTCAGCCCCCCCTTTCTGGCCTTTTCCCAGCTCCTCCCCCCAGCCTTTGTGTCCTTTGTCCAGTTTTCCGGGCAGAGGTGTCACCTGGCCTCCAACCCCCCTCCTGGGTTCTCAGGTTACATGCTCAGGTATGCTCCCTTCCCCAATGCAGGCAGCCCCAGCAAAACTCCCCTGCAACCTTCCCAGGTTAATACTCCCCACTCAGCGTTCAAATAACACATCAAGAACATTCCCACTTCGTCACACCATCATGTGCCAGCAATGCCCTTCTGCCATGTACATTGGCCAAACCGGACAGTCTCTACACAAAAGAATAAATGGACACAAATCAGACATCAAGAATTGTAACATTCAAAAACCAGTAGGAGAACACTTCAATCTCCCTGGACACTCAGTAACAGACTTAAAAGTGGCCATTCTTCAACAACAAAATTTCAAAAAGAGACTTCAACGAGAAACTGCAGAACTGGAATTAATTTGTAAACTTGACACCATCAAATTAGGCCTGAATAAAGACTGGGAGTGGCTGGGTCACTACAAAAAGTAATTTTCCCTCTGTTGATATTCACCCCTTCTTGTCAACTGTTGGGAATGGGTCCCATCCACCCTGATTGAATTGGCCTCGTTAGCATTGACCCCTCCGACTTGGTAAGGCAACTCCCATCTTTTCATGTGCTGTGAATTTATACCTGCCTACTGTATTTTCCACTCCATGCAGCTGATGAAGTGGGTTATAACCCACAAAAGCTTAAGCTCAAATAAATTTGTTAGTCTCTAAGGTGTCACAAGGACTCCTTGTTGTTTTAGTTAATATAGTGTATTTAGATTTTCAGAAAGTCTTTGACAAGGTACCTCACCAAAGATTCTTAAGCAAAGTAAGCTGTCATGGGATAAGAGGGAAGGTCCTCTCATGGATCAGTAACTGATTAAAAGATAGGAAACAGAGGGTAAGAATAAATGATCAGTTTTGAGAATGGAGAGAGTTAAATAGTGGTGTCCCCTAAGGATCTGTTCTGGGACCAGTCCTATTCAACATATTCATAAACGATCTGGAAAAAGGGCAGAAAGCGAGATGGCAACATTTGCAAATGATACCAAACTGCTCAAGCTAGTTAAGTCCTAGGCAGACTGCGGAGAGCTACAAAGGGATCTCACAAAACTGGGGGACTGGGCAACAAAATAGCAGATGAAATTCAATGTTTATAAATGCAAAGTACTGCACATTGGAAAACAATCTCAACTATACATATAAAATAATGGGGTCTACATTAGCTGTTACCACTCAAGAAAGATCTTGGAGTCATTTTGGATAGTTCTCTGAAATCATCCACTCTATGTGCAGTGGCAGTCAAAAAAGTGAACAGAGTGTTGGGAATCATTAAGAAAGGAATAGATAATAAGACAGAAAACATCATATTGACCCTATACAAATTCATGGTACGCCAACATCTTGAATACTGCGTGCAGATGTGGTTGCCCCATCTCAAAAAAGACACATTGGAATTGGAAAAGGTTCAGAAAAGGGCCACACAAATGATTAGGGGTATGGAGCAGCTTCCGTATGAGGAGAGATTAATAAGATTGGGACTGTTCAGCATGGAAAAGAGACGACTAAGGGGGGATATGGTTGAGGTCTATAAAATCATGACTGGTGTGGAGAAAGTGAGTAAGGAAGTGGTATTTACTCCTTCTCATAACACAAGAACTAGGGGCCACCATATGAAATTAATGGGCAGCAGGTTTAAAACAAACAAAAAGAAGCATTTTTTCACACAACGCACAGTCAACCTGTGGAACTCCTTGCCAGAGGATGATGTGAAGACCAAGACTATAACAGGGTTCAAAAAGAACTAGATAAGTTCATGGAGGATAGGTCCATCAATAGCTATTAGCCAGGATAGGCAGGGATGGTGTCCCTAGCCTCTGTTTACCAGAAGCTGGGAATGGGTGATGGGGATGGATCACTTGATGATTACCTGTTCTGTTCATTCCCTCTGGGGCACCTGGCATTGGCCACTGTCAGAGGACAGGGTCCTGGGCTAGATGGACCTTTGGTCTGACGCAGTATGGCCGTTCTTATGTTCTTATGTAACCTGAAGTCTTTAAATCAAGAGTTGAGGGCTTCAGTGACTCAGCCAGAGATTAGGGGTCTATTCCAGGAGTGGGTGGGTGAGGTTCTGTGGCCTGTGACATGCAGGAGGTCAGACTAGTTCATGATGGTTCCTTATGGCCTTGAAGTCTGTGTCTAAGTACCTCACTTTACATGCACACCTTTAGTTAACTTGGTTTAATTTTGCATGTCGATAAGCCCTCAGACTGTCAGGTCTTGGGAGTGTTTGTTCTGTAAATGCCCGGCCCACCCAAGAGTGCTGTAATAAATAATAGGGCATTTAGAAAGACCATTGCAGTTTTGTGAGGCATATGCAGAGTTCTTGTGTCATGGAGCAAGGAGGCGATAGTCCCTGTCTAAGGTTATGTCGACACAGCAAAAAGAGTTGTGTGCTAACTCAGGTTGGCTAACCCGCTTTAGCTAACTCAGGTTAAAATTGTAAAGACATGGCAACTTGGCTTTTACGTGAGCCAGCAGCTCGAATTCAAACTCTGGCTCCACAGCAGGCTTTAACTCGAGCTGCAAACCCTCATTAAAGCCAAGTTGCCATGTCTTTGCTACTATTTTAACCTGAGTTAGCTAACCTCGGTTAGCTAATTGGACTTAAGAACACACCATTTTTGCAGTGTAGATACCCTATGTGGCTCAGATGGTGCCACGCTGAAATAAATCAGTATTATCTATTCCTTAATATCTCATTGGCTCCACCTGCTAGTGATCAAATTCAGATCTGTCCACTGTGCCCCACGAGTCTCAGTTTCTCCATTCTTCACTCGGGCAATACCGGGCAACTCTTCCTCATTCCGGGTGGTAGTGAAGGGTCTGTTCATTTACCCCTCTGGCTCAGCCTGCAGCTGAGGGTTGGCAACATGGGCTTGCTGACTAGTTCTACAGCTCCATTTGCTGGGACCGGGATGGTGAAGGTGATCGATCGTCTGAGTGCCTGGGGTTTGGGTGAGAGGGAGCTGGTCTGGGCTTCATCTGGGTGAGACTGGGGTGGTGATGGGGGAACAGCCAGAGGAATTGGTAGTGATTCTAAGAGCTCTCTCTTTTTGCCCACCCTTTGTTACTCAGATTAGCCTTCCGGGTCCTGTTGAGTGCTCCGAGAGCAGTTCATGCCGCTTATGCTTGCTGTAAAGTTGCTGGCCACCACTGTTGCATTTGGGGCTTCCCCACAGGGATCCAGGTGTTTCACCTTTGGGCACTGCCTTTGTGGGGCTGTGCCGGCAGAGCACTCTGCAGCTGGGGCAGAACGCAGCTTTTCTTGCTTGGCAAAGCCTCTTATGCGGAGCGTGACACTTGTGGTCTGGGATCTGCACTGGCTCCCAAGTCACTTTCAGAGGTCATGAAAGATGATGGATTCAACCTATAAACTTTTACTGGTTTTGGCCTTTGTTGCTGCAGTAATGCACGGGAATCAGTGAGGTGTCAGCCGACCAGTGCCTGGCTTAATCAGAAAAGGGCTGCTGGCAAGATGCCAGCGAGGGACCCTTGGCTCTGGAATTCACTTCGGCCCTTGGCCTAGTCTTCCGGAGCTGTTTCAAGACTTCTCTGTTTTCCTGGGCTGTTGGGAGTGGGTGACTTGGGAAGGGAAGGTTATTAGTTATTCCTGACAGGTTGGGAGGATTTTGCCACTGATGTTGAAGTGCCCTGATAGTAGGTAAGACATCTCGGCTGTACCTTAACTCAGGTTAAAAGAGCAGCGAGGACAAGGCCACTCAGGTCTTAACTCAGGTTAGCAGCTTGAGTTCAGCCCCAGGCTCCTGTATCGGCTGTAACCTGAGTGGCCTTGGTCTCACTGCTATTTAATCTGCGTTAGCTAGCCCGAGTTAAGAACACAGCATCGCCTCTCTTTGCAGGGAAGATGCACTCTTAGAGGCAGCATTTTCTAGTTCTGGGAGACCGAGACTGGGTGCCAGACTCCTGGGATCTAATTCCAGCTCTGATACTGACTTGCTGTTTGGCTTTGGGAAAATCACTGTCCCCTTGGTGCCTCAGTTTCCCTGTTTGTAAAATACTGGCAGTGCTTCCCTGCCTTGCAGGAGACATCTGACGTTGCAAAGTCAACACATTCATTATGTTGAGATCTTGTTTCCAAAAAGCCCCTGACGTCTCTGGAACACCCTGGCTTCCCTTCCAATGCTTCCTGTGAACAGGGTGGATGCTCCTGGCTCTCTCTCCAAGCGTATCACTGCACGCACCCCAGGTCTCTCACTGTCTAACCGAGGAGGCCGGAAGGACAAAAGACAACCCTTTCCGAGGGCTCTTAGGCTAGGTCTACACTACAGCGGGGTTCCGACCTAAGATACGCAACTTCAGCTACGTGAATACCGTAGCTGAAGTTGCGTATTTTAGGTCGGCTTACCTGGCGGTGAGGACGGGGGAAAGCCGACCGCTGCCGCCGACTCCGCTGCCGCCTCTTGTCGAGGTGGATTTCCGGAGTCGACGGCAGAGCGATCAGGGATCGATTTTACCGCGTCCTCACGAGACGCGGTAAGTCGATCCCTGATAAACTGATTGCTACCCGCCGGATCGGCAGGTAGTGAAGACGTAGCCTTAGGTGGCTCCTTCCCCAGTGTCCAGACTCGGACTCTAGACTTGTTTCCTAGGTTGTGCACGTCCACAGACCATGTACTTGGGCATGGTAATTCTGTACTCTGCCTGTTCTGATCTGTGTGTCTGTTTCTCTTTCCATAGTGCTCAGTATTGGTGAGGGTGGCTTCTGGGAAGGAACCGTGAAAGGACGGACCGGTTGGTTCCCGGCAGAATGCGTTGAGGAAGTGCAGATGCGACAGTATGACCCACGGCAAGGTAAGCTTTCCTGCTCGGGTAGGGTGACTGTCTCAGATGCTGGGCTGAGTGCCTCCTCTGCAAGGCAGTGTCCAGCCCCCAGCAATTCAGACTTGTTGACTTCCACTTACACAGAACTCTCAGGCTGCCCATCTTCTGCCCTGGGTGCCAGGCCATAAACTGAAACCCACAAAATAACAGAAGTCACGGTCTAGTCAATTTGTCAGTGATTCTTTTGCTGCGCCCAGTCCAGAGTTCCCACCTTCAGCGCTTTCAGTGTCGGGACTTATGTGCTTGCCGCCCTCTGGGAGCATTATTTAGTCATACAGGACAATGGCTTCAAATCCTACCACTGGCTTTTTGGGTGCCAAATGTGAGACAATTCAGATGTCCCCAGATGAGTGGCTGTAGCGCTTTCAGCAGTGGCTGTCAGTGTGATACGACCTGTGATTCACAGGGGCTCCTGTCCGCTTAATCAGGGCTCAGCATATGCTTGCATAAGAAGCCGACTCCCACGTGCATCTCATGCTTTCCTCGCACCATTCTAACACAAGATGCACTGAAAGCAAAGCGGCTGAGTGACATGGAGCTGGTTTGCTTCCCCTGCCAAGTGCCCTCTTCAGTGCCATGTGCAGACATTGGCTTAGTGAGCAATTGCTCACCTCAGGACGCTCTGGCCTCCTGGAACAGCGCCTAGCGCGGCATGAGTGGCTAGCAAGGGGCCAGTCCATCTGGTGCTTTCCATACATCTGAAAAAAGACACAAGTTACATCTGATCGTCCAAAGTGGCTCCATGTGTGGGCAGGGCCTTCTGGGAAGGAGGTGTGGTCATGACAGAACCCTTCCAACAGCTGTGTAAAACAGGCAGCTTGCTTCCTGTGCGCACAGGGCCGTGGCAGGTGCTAGCGAGGAGTCCTGGAGTGCCAGTGACTGCACTGTTGATGAACATCCTGCAAGGCTCATATGGCGCACCAGCTCTGCTAGAGTTCAGACTGAGAAGCCCTTTCTGTTCAAAGGGTCACTCTTCTAATTGTGCTAAAATGCACACGCGTACTCAGATTGCCCTGGAGTGCGGTATGCCTCATGGGGGCATGGGGTAGGGGGAGTGATCCAAACTTGGGGTCACTTGAGCGAGGGGTTCCTGCGGTACAGCTCCCCCCACCAGTTCTGGAGATTGACAGACTCTACCAATGTTTTTTGCACACACCAGGGGCTCAAACTGTGGCTCTGATTGTCCCTCGTTTGATCTCAATTACCTGACATTGGTCCCAGCTAGTGCATGGATCCCACAGCCTCTTGGGAAGAGTTTAGCTCTCTGTGTTAGCACGTGCTAAACACTCCCACACCAGACTGCAGTGCATGCATGCAGAAAGACTAGCCAAGAGTTTCAGGCCACCCAGTTTTCACGTGACCTTGTGGCTGGACTTAAGCTACTGTTGTGCACTGCAAGTTCAAACCCTACCCTTGGCAGAAATCTGAAAATGAAATGTCGACCTGTTGCTACAAGCAGCCTCTAGCAAATGGTGGGGGGTGTAGTTTGAGCAAAGTGGAAATTCAGGAGCTGCTGAAACTATTCTAATTACATGTGAATTTTTGCCGGGAGGGGAATAAATGGAGTTGGGTGGGGGGAGGGACACTGGAGGAGTGATACGGGGCTGGGTTGCAGGGTGCATGGGGGGAACTATGTCAGCCCCACATTCTCCCCTAATGTGAGTGTGTGCTGGGGCCTGGGAGGCCTGCCCCATGTCAGCTGACCCCAGTTCGCCTTAAAAGAGGGTCAGGAGGTGGTAGGTGAGAGCTGCCTGGGCATAAGAGATTAACAGGTGAGAGCTACTGGAGATCGGAAGAGGTCCCTGAAGGAAGCTGTAGCTGATGTCTGGGGAAAAGCTGAAGGCTGGAAAGCAGCAAGAGGGGTTTGCCAGCTGATCTCTCCAGGGCTAGAGAGGGCTGAAGGCCGGGCAATGGTGGAGGGACTTAGCCACTGATGTCTCCATGCTGGAGAGCTAGAGCCAGAGGGCTGGAGGGGTGTGAGCTGGGGAAGGGAGGGTCCTGGTGCAGATGAGCTCCCAGCAGAGAGGCTCCTCTTGCTGGGAAGAGCAGGGTTGCACTCCAGCTGGAAGGGCTGGGGGATGTGGAGAAGGCCAAAGAAGAGCCTATGAAATGTGAAGTATTGGATAGGACTTTCCTTGGAGCAGCCTCCCTTGTTCCCGCCCCCTTTAGCTGGAGAGAGTCTTAGTAGGAAAAGCCCCTGGTTTGAGTCTCTCTGATGGTGCTAACTGTCCTTGTGGGGAACAGAGACGCCAGCTGAGATGGGTGGAGCTGCTGCTGCTACTGTTAAATCCAAACCCATTTTATCTGCGGTGGTGGTTGGGATTTAGCGGGGGTGGTGATGTCAGTGGGACAGGAAGCAGGTCGGGACATCCCTCAGAGACGGTCCAGGGCTCACGAGGTGGGGTGGGGGCATCCATGATGGGGGAGCTTGCTTCAGTGTCTCCCTCTGTTCTTCTAGCTGTTCTTTTCCCCACAGGCCTTTTTGTTCTTTTCAGACCCCAAAAGGGAGTGATGGGTGGAATAGCCCCTCTCCTCATTCGTTTGTCTTCCAGTTAGGCCCAATATCCAACCCACCAATTTGGGGTTAATTAATTTCTGATCCTGTGTCATCTTCTGTTTTTACCAAGCATAAATTCAATATAATTCTTGAATTCTATCAACATGAACTAATTCAGTCTATCTGGTTGTCTTGCACCTTTTTATAACACTTTTTATTGAAAATAACTTGACCTGCTTTCCATGGTAAATTCTGAAGCAGGCCAAAGTTAGAGACTAATTGTCACAACAACCCAGCCGGGGGAATCTGTTCTGAATACCTTGGACTGTGTGAAGCTTTTAAGGAGTCCTGAGAAGGGGAAACTGAGGCAGGGCTGCTGTAGTGCCACCACAGGCCACAAGGGGGCACTCTGGAGGCAGCATACCCAGTTACGATTATAGGGCAGTGCTGGTTCCACTGTATGGTTGAACACCACTTTCTATTTAAAGGATGCCTCTCTTAATTTCTCTAAACTCAGCATGCTTACTCAGAGTGGCTTGAAATGTTCTGTGACTCATGGGAGGGTGAATGGTCCAAATTTAGGTTCATTTGAGCAAAAAGTTCCTGAGATATAGCTCCCTGGGGAGAAAACAGTATTTTACAAAATCAGCAGGTTCTGACAACTTCTTTGCGTAGTTCTGAGGATCAAACCCTGGCCCTGATTTGTCCATCACATAGCCCTTGCCTCAGCTAGTACGTGGCACCCACTGCCCCTTTGGGGAAGCCACATTGAAAGTTATTAAAGGAAGAGTTCAGCTCTCTCGAATGGGGTTTGCAATCAGTTGTGTGCTGAGACTGAAAGGTGCACGCGCAGCCAGACGAGGAAGGGGATTGGCAGAGCCCATTTGCCACAGTACCTGTGGTCATTGAACCTGCACTATACCCATGCAATCCATGTCGATTCAAACCTTACCCGGGGCAGAAATTGTGAGACTGACCTGTAGGCAAGTTGCTCCTGCCCACCTCTTTCCAGGGGTCTGTACTTTTGTGGAATGTGCCCTGCTGACTTGCATGGCTGACGGACGAGGGGCTCTTTTCTGAAAGATGATCTATCACACATGCTGCACAGAAACGTGAGAACAATTTCTGGTCATGCTGCTATTTTCCACCTGCTGATTTATTATAGCAGAGTGCCATGTTGAGTCATAGCATCGTGTAGTCTCAGGCCAGTAAGGATCCATGTGATTAATCTAGTCTGACTCCTGTATAATACCGGCCGTAGGATTTCCCTGAATTAACTCCTGTTTGAGCCACAGCCTGTCTTTTAGAAAATGATCCAGGTGCCTTGGACTGTTAGTCACCACATTACCCCCTGCCTCTCGTGCAAGGAAGCCTTGCCTGTGTCTGGCCGGGTGCCAGCTCCCTACCACTCGCAGACTCTCAGGCACTCTTCTCTGGGCTAGGCCAGCCCTGCCCTTGCCTTGCAGGTTAACGAGGGGCACCTGAGTCCCTTTGAATTGTTCCCTGTGAGATCCAGCTCCTGAGGCTGGTTCCTCACAGAAATCCCCATCCTCTGCCCCCAAAGCAGGGATTGGTCCTGCTTTGAGCAGGGGGTTGGACTAGATGACCTCCTGAGGTCCTTTCCAACCGTGATATTCTATGATTCTAAAGGAGCAGCGTAGCCCGGTTTTACCTGAAATCATTGCTGTTGTATTACACACAGCACGTGTGAGCACTTACAATAAAACAAAAGTGCATTTCATTAAGAGAGACTGGAGAGTTAAGTAGAGGTGTGAGGGGGTGGAAACATGGTTACACTACAAAACAGACTCGTAACTCAAACCTACATCTACACTGAGTAGTCACCTTCCCTATCTAACCAAGCACATCTCTCTTCTCCCACCCACCTCCCAAACAGGTTCAGTCTGTGGCAGAGGTGGGTGGTTTCCCAGGAAGCAGGATCCATTTTTTCAAGAGAACATCCCTGCTCCCCAAGATGTCTTCTCAGGGAAAGGCTAGAGTGCTTTTCCCCTCCCTGTTATACGGGAACGGTCTCGTGGCTTCCGTCAGAGACAGGGTGGCTCTCTGTCTGTTGTGCTGTTCCTCTTGTCTCTCCCAGTGGTTATGATGGTTTGTGGTTGTCCCTGCTGGTTTATCATTGAAAGTCTCGGGGTGGAGCAAGGCTAGACGCTGAGCCTTGGGTTCCGTCACCAGCAAACAAGGACTGGGTGGCAGCTCCCCACTGCCTGAATGGGCCATCACCAAGATAGCCCCTGGTGGCTAACTTTTACTCCAAGTCCACAGAGCACACTTCCACTCGAAATACATTATTCCCTAAATATTACTTCGACGTACATCTCGCTTGCTGTAGGTACCTTGCACTCTCCTCTTTGCGGATAAATGCTCTACAAGACGGGGTTGTTGGAGTGAGATTGTCAGGTCTGGGGTAAGATCTGTTTGTCAAGGGGGTTTAAAAATGGTCAGTGATGGAGAA